TTATTTATCATCTATTTATCAATAAAGTGTTCGATCATTATTCCTCGAAAATCTACTTCTATATCACGCTGTTTATCGATAGCCTAATCGATCAACAAGTGTTCGATCACTTGTTCGATCATGGACTGATTTCAGTAAAACTTCAATCAGTTGTGATGATTATCAAAATATGTTATCTATTTCATTCGAGCTTTTCTCAGCCTTCATGTTTGTTTTAATTCTCTATTTAAAAAGTTTCAAAATCAAAAGAGACCTTGAGCTTCCTTTTCTCTGCATACCTTTATGAAGTCACCGTTTCCTTTTATCGATCACTTAATTGATAAATCAATGATCCATCACTTGATCGATAAACATAGTTACCTGTGTCAAAAGTTCTCATTCTGAATAATCGATAACTTGATCGATCAACCAGTCATCGATCATTATTTTGATCAAGGATGTCCAGTTATCGTTCAAAACATTTAGCTGATTGATTCTACTTTTAAATTACGAATATTCATCTTATTATTTGTTCGGTCTGATCTAAGTTTTACTCTGTAAAGAGAAACTTATTGAATTAAAATTGCAGATTATGAAGAAAAAAACTCAATGGCTCTCTAACGGTTGTTTAGTAGCCTGTAACCTACCATGTCAGAAGCATTAATAGCGAGAACTATTGAAACTGGAAAAACACGCAACCGAACTCTCAACGGCTAAAAGCTCTTTCGTCTAACGATTATTAAACTACCTCAACTATAAAAGGCGCGAAGAAGCATTAAATGAACATATTGAATACCCGAGCTACCCTCTGCTAATTATTTATTGTTACATTCAATACTTTGTTCTAGCATATACCGAGCTTCAGTGTTTCTCATTTAATTACTCTGTGAGAGAGTCTGTATCTATCATCGTAAATCACGTTTTGTGTGAAACTCAAGTGTGTGGACTCTTGAGAGGGATTGTAACCTTACAAGTAGTAAAGGGGAGTGATTGAGCGAATCAATTGCTGTACTGCAGCACCAAGAGCCCGATTAATCTTGGAACATATTGGAATACTCAGAGGTGTTCTGAGGACTAGACGTAGGTCAAGTGGTTGAGACCGAACTAGTATAAATTCTGTGTCCTCTTTTCTTCGGTGAAATCTCTCTAACTCACACTCTCTGTTTCTATTAGCTTATTGTTTTAAATTCGCAAGATTTTTATAACTCACCCAATTCACCCCCTATTGGGTGAGACTGCCACTAACATTGATTTCACCATCCTTTTGAAGGTCATGAGTGAAGAAGAATTTTGGAGAGATATGCTTTGTTCTTTCTCCTTTGATGTATCATTCTTTTAGTTGGGTAATACATGCAATATTATCTTTGTCTAGTATTGTTGGGATCATTTTACAAAAGACAAGCCACAAGTAGTTTGTATGTGATGTATTAAAGACCTTAACCATACGCATTCTTGACTTGCTTCATGCATTGCTAAAAGCTCTGCATAGTTAGATGATGTGGCTGATATAGTTTGTTTCATAGATCGCCATGAAATGGTTGTACCACTATATGTGAATAGATAGCCTGTTTGTGATTTACCGATATGTGGGTCAGACTGAAATCCAGCATCTGCATAGCCAACAAGATTGGTCTTGGATGCATTCGAATAAAATAATCCCATATCCATTGTACCCTTAAGATAACGAAGGATGTGTTTAACTTCATTCCAATGCCTTCGTGTTGGTGAAGAACTATATCTTGCTAGCAAGTTTACTGTAAATGATATATCAAGTAGCGTATGGTTAGCAAGATACATTAGTGCTCTAATTGCACTAAGATATGGTACTTCTAGACTAAGTAGCTCTTCATCACCTTTTTTCCTGATTTCTCAAGGTCTAAAAGGGTCCTTATCCACCTCCAAAGATCTTACAATCATTGGAGTACATAATGGATGTGACTTATCCATATAAAAATATTCTAGGATCTTTTTTGTATAAGTTTCTTCATATACAAAAATTCCATTTTTCAAATACTCAATTTGTAATCCAAGGCAAAATTTTGTTCTTCCTAGATCCTTCATTTCAAATTCTTTCTTTAGGCAATTCACTGCCTTTTCAAGCTCTTCAAGATTCCAATAATATTTATATCATCAACATACACAGTGATTATAACGAACTCATTTTCTAATCTTTTCATAAAAATGCATGGGTATATTGTATCATTTTTATACGCTTCCTTTAATAGATACTCACTAAGCATGTTATACCATATTCACCCTAATTGCTTTAATCCATATAAGGGTTTGTTTAACTTAATTGAGTATCATTCTCGAGATTTTGAATTGTATGCTTCTGGCAATTTCAGCCCTTCAGGGGGTCTCATATAAATGTCACTGTCAAGTGAGCCATACTGAGAGGTTGTAACAACATCCATTAGATGCAAATTGAGCCCTTCGTTTATTGCGAGGCTAATAAGAATTGAAAAGTAGTTGCATCCACTATTAGTGAATAAGTTTCTTCAAAATTGATATCAGGTCTTTGTGTAAACCCTTGGGCAACAAATTGTGCCTTGTATCTTATGATTTCACCTTTTTTATTTCTCTTTCACACAAAAACCCATTTATATCCAACTAGTTTTACATCTTCAGGTATAAGGACTATTGGTTCAAAACTTTTTTGCTGTTCTAGCGATTTTAATTCTGCCTCAATCACATCTTTCCATTTTGGCCAATCCTTTCTTTATTTACATTCACTAATTGACTTTGGCTCATGATCCTCATTATCATTCATCACATCAAGTGCTACATTATAAGAGAAAATATCATCGACATCGACTTCACTTCAGTCCCATCTTATCCCATTCATAACATAATTAATTAAGATCTCATCATTTTCAGGTACCTAACTTTCTTTGAGAATTGGGATCTTAGCATTTTCTAATGACTCTTCTAGAGTTGCTAATTTTTCTAAATTATTCTCGACTAGGCCATTTATACTTTTAGCTTTTTTTTTCTTTCAAGGATTTTTATCTTTGGAACCGATGGGCCTGCCACGCTTCATGCGTGCTTTAGAATCATTCACAATTGGTTGTCCATCAAGAACATCAATTTTAATAGGAGCATTAACAGCTGGGATATGTGACTTTGTTACTCTCTTCAGGTTAGTAAATGCATCTGGTAATTGATTAGCTAAACTTTGTAATTGACGATCTTTTGAACTTCCAGTTCAAATTCTTTTGTGCGAGGATCAAGATAAGATGGTAATAATTCTTTCCAACTAATGTCCTTTTCCAACTTCTTATTTTCTCCCTCATTGTTGGAAAAATTGACTCATCAAAATAATAATCAACAAATCAAGCCGTGAATAAATCTCCTATTGACGGTTCTAGATACTTTATTATAGCCGGAGATTCATATCCGACATATACTCCTATCCTTTTTTGAGGACCCATCTTGGTACGTTGTGAGGGAGCAATTGGAACATATATAGCATATCCATAGGTTCTTAGATGGGAAATATTGAGTTCCTGACCAAAAACCAATTGTAAAAGGGAGGACTTGAGATAACTTGTTGGTTTGATGCGAATTAACATTGCTGCATGCAAAATTGCATGCCCTCAAGCAGAAATTGGGAGATTTGATCTCATAAGTAATGGTCTCACAATTAATTGTAAACGTTTGATTAATGATTCTACAAGTCCATTTTGTGTGTGTGTACATGAGCCATAGGATGTTCAACATCAATCCCAAGAGACATACAATAATCATTGAAAGCTTGTGAAGTAAATTCACCAGCATTATCAAGACGTATTTTCTTGATAGGAAAATCAGGAAAATATGCTCTTAATCTGATTAATTAAGCCAATAATCTTGTGAACGTCAGGTTATGTAAAGATAATAAACAGACATGTGACCATCTTGTTGATGCATCAATCAAAACCATAAAATATCTAAATAGTCCGCATGGTGGGTGTATCGGTCCACAAATATCTCCCTGCACTACAAAAAAAATAGGAGATTAGTGATAGAAATTAGTGACAGAATTTCCGTCACTAAACTGGTTAGTGGCGAAAATTCCGTCGCTAATCCGTCAAAAAAAATTTGTGACGGAATTTGTGACGAAATACGTTCCATCACTAAAAAGGCCATCACTAATTGATTTGTGTCGGAAATAAAGAATCTGTCGCTAATTCGACGACAGACTTGTGACGGAAATCCGTCACAAATTTTGTGACAGATTTGTGAGGGAGTTGTCTGTCACCAAATTGTGACAGAATTTTCATCACAAAATTCTGACAGACTTGTGACAGCCTTTCCGTCACAAATTTGTGATAGAATTGTGATAGAATTTCTGTTAAAAAACTGCACATATTTGTGACGGAAATTCCTTCACAAATTTATCACGGAATTGTGAGTTTTTTGACGGAATATTAGGTCACATGTTAATGACGGATTTGTGACAGAACTGTCCGTCACAAATTAGTGACAGAATTCCCTGGAAAATCCGTCACTAATGTTCCACGTTTTTTTTTTTTGCTGATTATATATATTTAGAGACGGAAGTTCCGTCACAAATCTGTGGAAAATTTTTTATTTTTAAGTTTTTTTAATTTTTTATTTCAAGCTGCATTTCCTGTAAGAAACAAATTGAAATTATAATTATAATGTCGCTAATATTCAAACCAAATTAAAATAGCAGTTGTCATAACAAGCAACAAATCTAAAAATGTCAAGTCCCAAACTAAAGAGCAATCTTTATAACAAGTATAATATTAAACAAACTACTAATTATCATTATGTGGACTTGCTTCACTTTGAGTGCTGGAGTTGATAGGCGACCCAGTTGAGAATTTTCGCTCAAGTGCTTCCAACCTAGACAAGATGGTAACATTTAATTGTCTCATATCTTCATTTTCTTGTTTAAGCTCTGAGACAATATTCTGAAGATCAGGTTGGCCTTCTGTGTTGATGGAAGAAGGAGACATATGAGAAGAATGTTGTGTGCAGTCATTATGCTGGGCATCAGATCCTAAGCCATAGATTCAACCCTTCTTATTCTTACCACCTGCAACCTGTAACCAAATCCTCATTTCTTCACCATCTAGCTGATTTGATTCCTCCACACTTGGAGAACCAACACTAGAACTCCTTGATGCCTTGACCCTCATGTAATGTTCCTATGAAAAAAGAAAGTAAAAAATTCAAAATATAAAAGCATTAACAAGCACACAAATAGGCAATTCTCAACGAATCTGAAAAACAACAATCCAGAGTGAACAAGCCTTAAAATAGCTACTGGCAGAGACCAAAATCTAATGATGCAACCTCAAAGCCTTAAAACACCATAAAATAACTTCCAAATATAATACTTATCAATACGAGAAGCATGCACAATTAGAAGATCTACATATTTCTATTACTATTACCATTATTATTATACCACCAGTAAGGCATTTTCAAAGGCTAGGAACTAAAGATGGCTAAATTCCCGTCCTTCCATTGATCGAGTAGGAAGAAATTATTATTCCTATTTTAATTCAATTGGGGGGAAAAACTTACTTGAGAAACAAGAGGGTATACAGCTAGACACTCTCCCAAAAAAAAGGACAAAAAAGAGAGCTATCAATGCTAAAAAGTATGAGGCTGACCAAACCCTCCACCGCATGTGAATGAGTTTACAATTAAAATAAAAAATTTATTTAAAAAAAAAACCAAACCAAACCAAACAAAAAAGAAGAAGAAGAAGACTATTTGTTCTTAACATAAGAGAGGCAGTAAAAAGCAACATGTCCCTTATCACATGAGATGAAAATGAAATGGCCCTAAGATATGCATTCTTTTTTCTTTCCCCTTTTTTTAGATGAAAAGTTCTACAAGAATTCAACAGCAATTTTTGTCCACATCTATATGGGATAAACGTGATAACAATCACTTCTTAAGAATTTCATTTCTGAAATAAATACAAAAGCTATTTATATTATTAAAATATACAGATGTCGTTGTTCTAAGCATACAACACCTGAAAAGCAGGGTAAAGATGGTTTTTATGCAATTGAGGTCTCTTAAAAAAGGTCCAGAAGTATTATTCTCAACTAGCAGATGACATGAAAGAGGCATAAAAAGAGAAATTCAGAGGTGTGCTTAGATTGAGAAGGAAAGTGAAATTTTAATGCTAATATTTTACTTGATTTTATTTAGATTATAAAGCTAACATTTTTCTTCCATTCTCCCCATTCAAATCTAACTCCAAGAACATTCAAATTTTAATGTTAATATTTTATTTGATTTTATGAAATAATGTCAATTAATGGATCGGAACAAAGTCTCATTTTCATCGATGACAATGGAAATCACCATTGAAAGTATGCCTTTCAAAACTTTTGGTATGGACTATGGCATTAATTAATCAGAAGCAAAAGTGTGAAGATTTTGATCGATATAGAATGTAATCATATTTTAATTAGATTATTTAACCCTACTAAATATATAGTTGATGCAGACTAGTAACCACAAGTAAAGAAGTAAAGACCCACACTACAACTAGTCAAGCCTCAGGCCATCAGCACAGCTCTACAGAAAAAGATTCTGGAAAAATATGTACTTACAGAAATTTCAGCTGACCTAATATCCACAAATTGGTTAGTTTTGACATCAAAGTGTGTATTTGTGAACAATTCATATTGAGTAGGATTTCTTCCCAACTGTAAAGCCTGTAGTTATTTATAAAAAAAAAGAATTATATCATGCATTAACTAGTTATTTATAAAAAAATGATCATGTCATGCATTAAATAATTAAAGATAATAGCTGAAAATAAATATAATTCTCACCAACCTCCTTCTATGCTCAGTATTAGGGATGCTGCCCCCTTTGTGTTGAGTGCCTCCTGTGGAAGAGGCCCGATTGACTTTAGCTGTGTTACACTTGGACTTATAATTTTCTAATGTCCATATTTCCTCTAAATCATCCATCACATTAGGTGGAATCCAATTAGGCCTCATTTGTTTCAGAAACATATCCTTCTGAACATTATGCATTGTATGTCTTAAGATTTCTATGCACTTTAAGTTCCAATTTCTCCTAATAGCAACTTCATGTTGTGGCAACCATTTAAATTGTTTCTGCAGAAATAAGAAGAAAAACAAAATCATGTTCTATAATAGAATGAGAGAAAAACTAAAGACATAATAAAAATATAATGAACCTATATACTGCCCATTCCCTAAACCACAAGTCCTTAATTTGAGGGGGTGTCGCCTTCCAAGTACAGCATGGGTGTTCAAATTTTCCTTGAATGATAGGAAGAATATTTCACACAGGAATAATGGCACTAGAATGGCTTTAAGCAGCTCAATAAAAATATCAGATAAAGTAATGTGAAGTTGATTACTTACGTTTTATTCTCAGGATATACCCACATCCGGTTATCTGAGGGATCAATACCCCATGGGTTGGAACTAGCAGGAGAACCCTGAGTTGGGTTTTGTGAGGCTTCTGTTCCAAGAGATGGGATTGAAGGAGATGATGCAGGTGATATCGAGAGTCTCCTAATTGGTTCAGACATGACTGGAGATGATGTACGCATAGATGGTTGAGGAAGAGAAGAATTTTCAGGTTGGTGAGGCAATTGTGCAGATGCTGTAGTTCCATATGGGACTCTACGCTGCACTTTACCACTTGACATCTACATATCCAAATTTGAAGATTAAGTTGAGTTAGTAATAAATAATAAATAAATCATCACAGAATTGAACAAAATTAAAACTAGATACTAGAGGCAATGAAGGTCTAGTGGATTGTTCTGCCACATTAGGAGCGAAGGTCATAGCTACATGAGGAATTGATTTTTCAAGTTGCTGAGGCAATTGCGGAGGTGTGGTAGTACTCGATTGGATTTTACGCTTTGCACTTAGATTTGACATCTGCAAATTCCAATTTCAATATTGGGTAAGTAATAGGCAATAAATACTCATACAAAATGAATCAAGATCAAAACTGAAGAATCAATGCAATCAAAGTCAAATTGAACACTAAATAGTAGTAGATTATAATATGTTAACCATAATTCATCCGTCTTCATCATTGTTGTTGATGTCATCATCGTCGTTGTTGTCATCATCATCATCAACTTCCATATAGAAATCTTCTTCACCATCATTTGTGTCTTCCTCAACTTCATCTTCATATTCATCTTCTTCATCTTCCTCAACTTCATCTTCGTATTCATCTTCTTCATAAACCATGTTCTCAGTTGGCATATCCACCTCTTCGTAGAAAATTTCAGAATTTATTTAGTTATTCAATTCAGCATCATCAATAATTGTTGGTAGTATGACTTCTAATCCATCTGCTTGAACTGCCTCTAAGTTTATTGCACATGTAGGAGCACCAATGATGTTACGAGCCTTCACCTTAATAGTAGCTAACCAATTTGCCTTCTGATGACAACAAGGATAAGAGGTGCATTATACTTGCATTACTTGTTGAGCAATAATGAATGGATCATACTTATTGTACCTTCGTAATCCATGAACTTCAACAATCCCATATTGTTCATAAACCCTTATACCATGATTTGGTATCGGATTAAACCACTCACAATTGAATAATACTAATTTCTTTACAAAAAGCCCCATATATTCAATCTCTATAATCTCCTGTACAATACCATAAAAGTCATGTTCTGGTTGTGCATAGTCAGCACCTTTAATGCATATACCAATATTTATCGTTGATTTTCAAAGGGCCCATGAATGTGTATGAAACTTATACCCATTAATAAAGTACATAGGCCAAGTTATAACTTTCTCTTTGGGTCCCAAGCAATGTCATGTAAAAATGGATCTACAATGTGGTTGTTATGATTTTGAACCTACGTAATAAGGATCAATGAGTATTATGGCAGATAATTCCTGTTTGATGATACAAAATTGAAAGCAATCATACTTACATGATTTTTAAACCATGAGGGAAATCTTTAATTGATCTGGGATTCTATCTCATTCTCTGTGATTCGACAGTTATCTTTCTTCAATGTTTGTACAAATAACCTACATGACAAATAATGTGTTTGTAATGCATATATTTGACATAAGGTTTGATCACAACCAAAGATCACTTACATCATATAAGGTTGCACCTTATCACAATTCATTAGAACATATCTTTTGGCAGCTTCTACTTCCTCATCATTCAAGAAACGAGCTTTACATTCCCTAAAAGGTCTTCCTGGATAGTTAAATATGGAAATTGTTGGCAAATTTGATTCTCCACCATCATCATTTCGTAGAGGTCTTGTTATTCTTGGTGGCATACTCGGCTCAAAGTAGTGCGAGCAAAACATAGCGGTCTCCTCGACTATATAAGCTTCACATATAGACGCTTCAACTCGGGCTTTGTTCTTGACCTTTCATTTCAAGGTATAAAGGAATCTACAAAAATGGATATGTTGTAAAAGCTAACATTGACTATTGTATTTATTACATACAAAGAAACCAACAAAAAGAAATTTCATTACCTTTCAAATGGATACATCCATCGAAACTGAATCAGTCCACCAACCTTAGCTTCATAAGCATGGTAGACGGGCAAATGCTCTATTGAGTCAAAAAAACCAAGGAAAAAACCTTCTCTAATTTACATAAATGTCACAACAATATTTTGCTCTAATATCTCAAGTTGATCTACCATCAAGGTGGTAGAACAAAGTTGTTTAAAGAATTGACTAAGCTCCACTATAGGATTAAATACATCATCTGGCAATGTAGAAAAGGCAATAGGAACCAAGCGTTCCATGAACATATGAGAATCATGACTCTTCATTCCATATAACTTTGCTTCCTTCATATCAACACACCAAGCTAGATTAGATGCATACCCATCGCGGAGCTTCAACTTCTTTATCCATTGAACAATCGCTCGCCTTTGTTCTAAATTCAAAGTATATTTTGCAATTGGTTTCATCATTTTTCCTCCTCTATCAATAAGTTCATTTTCCTTTCGTCGACAATATTCTTGCAAGTCCATTCGAGCTTGTGTATTATCTTTTGTTTTTCCTTTTGTGTCCATGACAGTGTGAAACAAATTCTCAAAAAAATTCTTTTCAAGGTGCATAACATCAAGATTATGTCAAATGAGATTGCTTTTCCAATATGGTAATTCCCAAAATATGCTTTGTTTGGTCCAATGATGAGTGTCATTATAGCCTTCAGTTGGTATAGTTGTTCCATATTCGGTGACCTTTGGCAAATTTTGTACTCTATGCCAAACTTCCTCTCCACTTAACCGAGAAGGAGGCATTAATTTCTCAACTTTGTTCTTGCAAAATAAGTTTTTGTTTCTCTTGAATCAATGATCAATAGGAAGGAATTGACGATGACAATCAAAGAAAGATGTTTTCCTCCCATACTTCAATTGGAATGCTTTTGAGTTCTCTATACATATAGGACACGATAATCTTCCCATTGTCATCCAACCAGAAAACATGCCATATGCAGGAAAGTCATTAATTGTCCATAATAATACAGCACGCATGTGAGAGTTTTGTCTCAATGAGGCATCATATGTTAGCACACCCTCATCCTATAATAATTTTAATTCATCTATCAATGGTTGTAAATACATATCTATTTTTCCTTTGGAATTATTAGGACCAGGGATAATTAAAGTAAAAAACATATATTCTCGTGTCATACACAACTTGGGTGACATATTATATGGAGTAATAATTATAGGCCAATAAGAATATTGTCTTCCTGATTGCCCAAATAGCGTCAATCAATCAACACATAACCCAAGCCTCACATTTTGTGGATCATGAGCAAAGTCAAGATATGTACTATTAAAAACTTTCCATGCTTGGCCGTCAGAGGGGTGAGAAAGGACATTAGCGCCTTTATGATTTGTATAGTGCCATGTCATTTCCTTTGCTGTTTTCTCAAAGGCATACAATCGCTAAAATCTTGGAATTAAAGGTAAGAACCACAAATATTTCCTTGCAACTTTCTTTTTCCTTCCATGACACCTTCTTGAGAAATATCTTTCCTCACCACAAAACTTACATTGCGTTGTACTATCATTAGCTTTATAGTACAACATACACCCATTCACACAACAATCAATCTTTCTATAATCAAGACCTAGCTTTGACACCAACTTTTTTGTTTGGTACAAGTCTGTAGGCATACAAGTATCTTTAGGCTGTGTCCTCCTCATGAGTTGGGAAATTAAATTGTATCCTTGTCGTGACATGTTAGTTGTTGCCTTTATGCTTAATAATTGCAAGGTTGTTGAAAGTTTAGACTATTTGCAGCCTTCCCACAATGGTTGTTGTGCAGCATGTAACATGTCATAAAATGCTCTTACATTCAGATTTGGCATCTCTCTAATACCTTCATTATAATTATCCCTAAAACTTGGCCCAGCTACATCCATCACTATAGTCTCATATTGATTTAGTTGGTTATTGATTGGCTCATGTGAGGCATATATAGTACTTGGTATTGGAGACAAAGGAGAATGATATTGTATTTCTGCTTCACCATGACTATTCCATATATAATACTTTGGCATAAATCCAAATTTATAGATATGTGTCTTCACCTCATCAATAGTTAGATATGGCCTACATTTACATTTGACACACGGACACCAAAGCTTCCTTGATGTTTGAGAATAAGGTGCCCTTAGAGCATAGGTAAGAAACTCCTTAACACCTCGTTGGAAATCTTGCGTATACCATTTAGTGCTTGGATCTACTATATTATACATCCATTTTTGATTTTGTGGGACTTCTATTGAGTAAATGAGTGTTCTAGCAATGTAAAATCAAAATGTAGCAACTTTTCAGCACCCCCAAATCTTTGTAATTTGAGTGCGTAAATTTTTTTGGGTAAAATTATGTGTTCTAGCAACAACTAACCCTATATTCATTCATGAAAGTACCCCTAACGGATTGAAAACCATATCAATGGGTCTTCCATTTTACATTAGCATTATTAAAGTTCTTGTCTATTTATAAATACATATAAAGAGGGAAAAGACAAGCATTAGCAGCAAAATTTTGATTTTGTATCTATTTTGAAGTCACATTATTGATGTTATAGTCTCATAATTAGATAGGGCCCCAATAACTCTCAAGTGTAAATATATGTTAATTATTACACAAGCTGAATAATAGTCTTAATGTTCAAGTTTCATTAACTTTGCTAGCTCATATATTAAAACTCATTCAGACCACTTTTATTTTTGTTATTAAGACATGCTTTTGTAACATTTTATGAATCCTAATAGACAATCTCTAGTATTATATATCATAAGAGCAAATGAATTAATTTAATTGCAATCTTTGATTGGAGGTTCAACGCTAACAGTTAATTCATTCCAAAAAAGACTTAGAAACATCATTTAGGAAAAATACAGTTTAATGGGTGATTTTAAAATGAAAACTTTGAATAGACACAAGAACCCATACACCTTGAGCTATGTTATGATAGTATTTGTCAGGTTGGTCACCAATATGTTGAAACTTTAGCATCTTAAAAGATCAAAGATCGCAAATATGTAATGGATGTCTATGTTCATTTCCTTGCAGGGAGAAAATAAAATTTAAAAAAAAAATCATCTGCAAAAAGGAACAAAATATAGGAAATAAAATAAAATGCAAATCTTGATGGTAGGTGGTGGTTGTTTGAGTTCTTCATATATAGCAAAGTAAACAGATATAGAGGTAAAGCAAATCAGTAGACCCTTACTCTTGGATAGTTAACTTAAATATTGCAACATGAACCACGTCTGTGGTATTTCTGGTAAATTTGATGTCAAACCCTTCTCTGTTCGTGACGAGGAATTAAGAAAGAGCTTCCAACTACAAGGAAAAAGTTCAGTTATTAGATTTTTTTTCACTTCCTTCACTGTTTATTTA